TTTTGTGTTTTGGTTTCTTTGGTGCGCGACAGTCGTCCGCGAGGGGCTGTCGCGCTATTTTGTTTATTTTATTAAAGTTTCTTTGAATGTTCGCCGGTTCCCGCCTCCTTCTTCCCGATCTACAAACTACGTTACATGCGCCTTTTCCATTTTACACTTTTAATCAAGCACCACTTTGCCATTTTTCACTGCCAAATGCCATTCACTTATTTTATTTATTTTGATTTATAGCACCCTACTCGCAGAAAAAAAGTTCAACCTGAAGCAACTTGCGCTGTACCTTTCTCGAGGGCAAACAACAAGACGGTCATTTCAATTTTCCATCCAAAATAAGACACCAACTAAAACATTTGCGTAAGGAGCTTGAATCCCTAAATATGAACAGGCCCACAAAGAATCTGCAATATTTATTTGCGCTGAATTTGGGGGAAAATCTAGATTTCCTGCGGCTTTGTCTCTACTAGACACAACAATTGCAAAATCTAAACTAATATTGAACATTGAAAAAACTGAAAATGATTCACTTCGGGTTGCTTTTATGTGGAGAATGTGAACTAGTAGCTTTCGTGTAAATTTGAGATTTTTGAAATGAATATAAATGTATTGTATATGACTTTTTGTGACCTCTTAAGCAAATATTGGGATGCAGGTGTTTCTAACTAATCAAAGAATCAATATAGAGATCAATATACAGCAATAGCTGAAAAATCAGTGGCTTATGATCATGCCATTGGCTAAGCTCTTGTAAAAATAGTTGCGTGGGAGCAAAAAGGATGTGGGTAGCAATTCTGGGGGTCAGACTGACCTTTGTGACATCAGAGGACAGCAGGCTGGCTGTATCTTTGAGGCGTGAGATGGAACTGTGACACAGACCTCCTATCACCGCCATCAGAGTATTGAAATTCTGTAGGGCTCTCAGCTTCTGCTCAAAGGAACAGATGGGAAAAAGGCAGTGAATCGTACCCTTACATTCTCTCTATGAATGCATGGCAACATTGAGTTGCTTACATCCTCTTTCCTGTAAACGCACTTGTAAGCTACAGTTATGCAACAGTCCTCCCAAACCATTTCCCAATACAGGAACATTACTCTCGACTGCACACTTATATCAGATTTCCTCACTACCACATTATTTGACGCATTTGCTTATTTTCTAGGTGTTTTCTTTGGGTTATCTTGTTCGTACATTTATGTTTGTGTGGTTAAAAGCAGGGCAGCACACAAAGCACACATGATGTAATTGTTTCGTCTGAACATTAAATGTCCAGCATCCTTAAAGTGAGCTGTCTTACTGGCATGTCCTGATAGATGTCGATCATCAACCCATTTGATGAATTTCCATCATTTTGAATGTTGTAATTAAAAACGTCATGCCTTCAGTGTCATGCCGTAAAATGTTTTAAATGAGTCAGACACCTCACGGACAGATATCACAGGCAACCTCAAAAATGAATTGCCGCAGAGCTGGAGTAAAACCACATATTTTGTCATGCTAGGGCCTCTCTCTACAGTACATTTTAGGTCAGTGTCTTGATAGCACGTTATAGCAGAGCATTACTGAAACATACATATTTCAGCATGTACTGTACAATCCTTTCATTTTCAGATCCACAACATAATGCAAAAGTGGCTGCTCACATTTTAATGACTTTGGTTGCGGAAGTATTTATACAAATCATTTTTATCCTTAGGCATTTAAAAAAAAAAATCTTTAGTAAAGAGTTAAAAGCCATGAACCAAACTAATCAGCTCTGAAATTAATTGCAAATGTTGATTAGAAGCGAAAGGTTAAAAAACTGAAAAAAGACTAAATTTAATGAACTAGGAATTCCATGAAGCACTGCCAATGATGTAATCAAAACAGTCAATCAGCCACAGTGATCAATGATGATTAAACAATTATTGATTATTAATTATATTAACTATTGATTATAGGTCATTTATTTTAAGAATAGAAAAGATATAGTTTGTCACAAAATGTCACTAAATACTGAAAAATGCAGTAGAAACAATTATCACTCAGAAACTGCTAGTAAATTCCACAAATAACAATGAAATGAATACAATGAAATGGCAAAATATTGATTAAAATTTTAAAGTAGAAAGACTAAAATGTTATTTTCTCGTAAAATGTACTCCAACTCTATTTGTTTTATCTACAACCTGCTAAAAATTTAAAAAAAATGATGAAACCAGCTTAAGCTGGTTGCTTGGTTTTAGCTGGTCTTCCAGCCTAGTCATAGCTGGTTTTAAAATGGTTTTGACCACTTCTTTAGCTGATCTTAGTTGGTCAGGCTGGAAGAAAAAGCTAAAACCAGCTCTCTCTCTCTCTCCGTGTGTGTGTATACATGCATATATATATATATATATATACAGGGGTTGGACAATGAAACTGAAACACTGGCCAATGTAGTGTTCGAGGTTTCATGGCTATATTTGCGCAGCCTGGTGGCCAGTCTTCACTGGTTGCACATTCCACCAGTAATAGCAGAGTGTGAAGGTCGAATTAGCAGAGCAATAGCACAGCTGTACATAAAATATTGCAATGCACACAACATAATGGGAGACATATCAGAGTTCAAAAGAGGACAAATTGTTGGTGCGTGTCTCGCTGGCGCATCTGTGACCAGGACAGCAAGTCTTTTTGGTGTATCGAGAGCCACGGTATCCAGGGTGATGTCAGCATACCACCATGAAGGATGAACCACATCCAACAGGAGTAACTGTCGACGCAAGAGGAAGCTGTCTGAAAGGGATGTCCGGGTGCTAACCTGGATTGTATCCAAAAAACATAAAACCACAGCTGCCCAACTCCCTGCAGAATTAAATGTGCACCTCAACTCTCCTGTTTCCACCAAAATTGTTCGTCGGGAGCTCCACAGGGTCAATATACATGGCCGGGCAGCTATAGCCAAACCTTTGGTCAATCGTGCCAATGCCAAACGTCGGTTTCAATGTTGCCAGCAGTGGAAATCTTGGGCTTTGGACAATGTGATACATGTATTGTTCTCCGATGAGTTTACCTTCACTGTCTTTCCCACATCTGGGAGAGTTACTGTGTGGAGAAGCCCCATATATGTATATATACACAAGTATGTATGTTGTTGTTTTTCTGATATATGTGGTTTTGGGAGGATTATGGGTAGTTCTTCATTGAGAAATTGGCTCATAGACAATTTTTCTACAGACACATATTCCAACATTTACCAACCTCTGAGCTCATGTCTTGAAACGTTTATATTGTATTGCTAGAAATGAATTTCTCAGGAGAAACTGAATGTAATTTGGTGATTTGTATTTCCTGAACCCTACCGATGCGCTCGGTTGAATGTGTGTGCGTTTGTAATTACCTGTGCTACATGAATGAACTTGGTGAAGACCTCTGCTCGCTGCTGTGAGGTGTGTTTGTTGAGGATCATGAGCTGGACCCACTGGGAGACTCCGTTGCAGAGCATGACAGAGCGCTCGAGCGCTGGATTATCCCTCACTGAGCCATGGACCACGTAACTGCGGTAGTCCAGAAACTAACATGACACACACAACAACAGGCACGGCTGAATCTGACATCTAGATGTGCTAAGCACTCACAAATGTGATCAGCAAGATATAATGATATGAATCTCTGATATGAACTGACACGTCCAGGTATGAGTACAACGGGTGTGATCGTGGTTGCTTTATTAGTCAGCTTCAGCAGTGTGAGTCTGTGCCGTCACTAAAGCGCTATACTGAGGTTAGACCATCAGATAAACACAGTTTGCACTAGCAACATCTGGTCAGAGAATGTGAGTGAAACTATCATGAGCCTTCAGGGTGAGTGACTTACTGAAACGTTGCAGAAGTTTTTGAACTCCAAGTAGCTGAGGTGTCCAGCCATCTCATCTGGTTCCATGTGGTCAAACAGCAGTGAAACTTTCCTTTTCTTCACAGAGGGAGAGGGAGTCTGGGAAACATTCACTGGAGGATTACTGGTTTCAGACATAGTGATGGACAAACAGAAACCAAACAGATCATCATAAATCAGACAGGTGAAGACAAGAATACAGCCAGAAACAAAGACAGACAGTCTACTAAAACTAAAATTAAAATAATGGGAAAAACCCTTAAGATAACATGTAGAAAGAAAAAAATGCATCTTAAGCACGCAGAATAACATAAGTGGACTTTGAACGATTAATTGCCGCTTTGAACGATTACGTAATTGTTGCATCCATAATTGTAATCGCGATTAGAAATTCGATTAATTGTGCAGCCCTAGTCACTTTAAGTCAAAATGACTTATGCTGTTCAGAGGCTTGTCACATAGCACACAAAACCATTTGTACTTTATTAATATTATCAATTATTTGGAAATATTTTAATTATAATATCATAATATCAATATAATAATATATACTGCAATTATATAATAATATAATATACATCATAATTTTAATATTTCTATTTTAATACCATCACTATTACTATATATTATGTTATAATGATTTATTATTTTTCTATAATGTCTTAATGTAATATATATGTAAAGCATGTGTGTGACACACACACATATTACATAAAGAAAAACAAAATACTTTTTTATTATAATTCTGTATTATAGATATTACATATAAATGACATATTTATTACATTTGGTCAATAATTTGTGTCATTTTCTGTAGTATTTAATAATTCTTTTTTATAGAATTATAGTTGATATTACAGACTATTATGATCATATTTCATTATATTCAATATTGTAAAATTTTAATAGTTTTTTTTTTTTTTCCAAGCATAAATTGAGTCAAGTGTGTCTAAAATTTGTACTTATAGTAGATATAAAGTTACTAATGCTCTGGCAATGACGGAAAGCTTTTTTTGCCATGCCAATAAAGCTATTTGTATCTCAAATGGAAAAACACTCACATGTATGGTGTATTGAAGAGCTGACAGTGTGAATCACTTCCCTCAACCCTCACCAGAGTCCAGAGATCTCCCATCACTTCTTCTAACAGAGGGTCCACCTCAAACATTATTCGGAACTGATTAATCCACTGCCTGCATGAGACAGACACAGAAGACGCGGAGGACAAACATGAATCCTTTCATTAATTTTGGGATCTTTAGGTGCACGTGTGAATGTTGTGGATCCACCAACCTGATGAAGTGGCAGATTTGTTGTCGCCTCTGTCCCCTTTTCTCTGCAGGACAATCCTTATATGTTATCACAAGTCAAGGAGGAACCACATAACAGCGAGACTACAAACTCTTACACACAGAGAAAATAATCCACCCTCAATAAAGAGGCTAAAGTAAAACAGGGCAGCTCTTGTTTCTTTGTCAGTGGGATTAAGAGCCATGCGAGGCTGCGTGTTGCTGAGACTGAACTACTCTTTGAATGATGAACTCAGTAGTAAAACAGGGCAGCTCTTGTTTCTTTGTCAGTGGGATTAAGAGCCATGCGAGGCTGCGTGTTGCTGAGACTGAACCTAAAACTACTCTTTGAATGATGAACTCAGCTTTTCAGGAATCAGCTGCATAAATCAATCTTCTTCAATTAAGATTAAGGTTGAGGTAGAAAAATAGTATTGGTGCATGAAGGAGGATATAGAGAAAGCAGCTTTTGGGCGAAGATGCGTGATGGCACAACCCAGTTATGCATCATCAGGGTCATATGGACAAGCTGCGTCCCTCTGATCAGCTTCCCATCTGAGTCTACAAAACAAAATGTTTAGATTTAGGTACAAGATGGTTTCTGCAACATTTATATGCAGTTACTAAGGTGTTTCGCATGTTTTTACTGTGCTGCTATGCAGTTGCTACGATGTTTCTGGGTGGTTCTTGGGGATTTCTAGTCAAATGAGCCCAGCTCCAAGACTATGTCTATATAGTCCTTCATAAGTATGGCTTGGATTCCTGCTTCAATATAATTTTATCTCTTGTTTTATTGTCCGCCAGCTGAAAAAAACACATCTGATCACTAAAAAAAGTAAAAACACAACTCTCCTCACCATGCTGCATGATTTTAGGAATCATCCACCTTAACAGAAATAGTGTGGGATGAGTTTAATACTATTTTAAAGGGGTGGTTCACTGTTTTTTTTCTAGGCTTGATTGTATTTATGAGGTGCAGTCTAACATGTCCCTCTCTGTCCCTTCTCTCAGAAACACCCTGATCATTTCTTTCTTTTATGAAGCCCCTCCCTCAGAAATAGGCGATGGGCCTGAATGAGAGAGAGAGAGAGAGAGATGCAGAGCATGTGCAGAGCAGTGGACACGAGGAACAGTATTAAGAACCGCTGCTTTAGAGCATTGATTTTGAAACTTGTGAATCCATTAGAATCGTTAGAAGACAGAATCGCGATTCATATATGAATAGATTTTTACGTGCACCTCTAGTTTTCTCTTCCTCTTCTCTAAAGCAGCGCAGCATGGCCTCGCCCCCTTTGCTGCCTTTTCCCGAGGGCGGGGTTTATCTGGGTTTGTGATGTCACGAACCCGGGAAGTAACTTGTTGTAGTCCCTACCAGCCATTTTGTAGGCATTAAACGGACAGAATTTTAAAAGACGATATCTCCAAATACTTAGGGTAATAAAAAGCCAAGTAGATTATAAATAAACAAGGCATAAGGGGGATGATGAAAAAATGAGAGAGAGAGGGGGTGAGACATCAAAAGATAGAGAAAGTGAGAGAGAGGGCAGGCCTGCGAAACTGAGGCACACAATCAGGCTTTGTCTCATTAGCATAGAGGGACAAACACATTCCCAGGCCCTGAATCCTAGTAAACCAAAAGATTTCCCTCTGTTTCTCTTTCTCTCCGTTTCTCTCTCCCTCTCTCTTTGACAAGAGCTGCTGTCCTTCAGCAGACTTACATAATCCGGCTGGCACATGGAGACTGGGAATGATGGGCACATGAGGCCAGAGACAGGGCTGAGAACCCCAGGAACGTGGAATGTGGGAGAAGTATGACTTTCTGTTGTGACAAGTGATGTAAGCTGTGCTTCCTTTAACTACCTGGAAGGCAACACTTGGTCATGTTTTCATGAAAACAGGACAAGCAACCTGACAGATGTAAATGATTGTCATGTAGGGTGGGGCTTATTGATAGACAGATAGAGATGAGATGAACTGACCGAAGCAATGGAGGCAGCGGAGGATGAGTTCATCCAGGCTGGCAGAGCGAAAAGAAGAGTGAGCTGGAGGACTTTGAAGAGCCCGGCTGATCTCCTGAGGACTGGGGCATGTCATCCTCCTCTGCACTGGTCTTCTGCACTTTATCACACACCCTCCCTCCTGACGGGACTTCCTGCTGTTGAAGAGTGAAGACACATGAAAGAAATGCAGTTTCGTGGCTTGATGCTAATGAAATACTCAACCCAGTCCCAACAAAGTACAGGTGGATTCAAACAACCATCATGTGATCAACAGTACAACTGGGGCATGGATGCAAGCATTTATTCAAACTGGCTCTCGCAAACAAACAAACAAAATAAAGAATCCATAGCAACAGACAGTTTACGTAGTTTTAGCCACTCATTAGACCACAGACGTTTCGCAGTAACTGCTTATCTTTACGAGGCTAAGCAGCATTTTGATCTTTTTTTTTATCTTTAATATTATGAAATGTTTTGTTGATGTTTAAGACATCATCTTTGGTTCTTAAAGTGACAGTTCGCCAAAAAATAACATTCTGTCATCATTTACTCACCGTCAGTTGTCACAAATTTGTATGAGTTTCCTATTTCTGTTGAACAGCAAAGAAGATATTTTGAATAATGTGGGTAACCGAATAGTTGCTGGTAGCCAATGACTTCCAATGTATTTTTTTCCATACTAAGGAAGTCAATGGCTACCGTCACCTGTTTGGTTGCACATATTCTTCAAAGTATGTAACAGAAGAAAGAAACTTTTTTTGGTGAACTATCCCTTTATTGTTACATTGAAAACCACAGCAGTGATGGTAGGGCTTTGATCTTGGTTGTGTGTCATAGGTTATATGTAAAGCTGATGAAATCTGGTCATGAGAAATGTGCTACATGTTCTGTTTTGCTAAAACCTACCCCCAAGTATTACCACATGCAACTAGAGATACTACCACCTAACTTGTCTGTTTATGCGAATGTCCAGTTACTTTTCTCACAGATCTGACATAAGGATTCACATGGCATAAAAATGGTCATAGTCTAATACTGTAGGAGAGAGATGAGTCATTTAAGGGCAAGAATATCATAGAAACTTGATGAGGCATGGGCCCTTTTGACATGGGCGAATAAGCAAACATCTAGCAACCACTTAGAAACACTGTAGCCATCAAGAACCATCGAGAACTCCTTACCAACCATTTTGAAATGCCCTAGCAACCAGCTAAAACATCCCAACACCTTAGTAAACTGCCAAAACACACCAGTGACTACTTAGATATGCCCTAGTAACCACACAGAATGCTTTAGCAACCTGCTTGAAATGCCCTAGGAACCACTTAGAAAAGCCCTACTACCAACCATCCAGAACACCTTAGGAACCAATTATAAATACCCGGCCTATAGCAATCAGCCAGAACACCCTAGCAACTACTTAGAAACACCCTAGTTGTTGTTAGATTGGTCTGACAGTTTACAGGGGTGATTATAAGTGGTCGCTAAGGTGTTCTGGGTGGTTACTAGGGTGTTTCTAAGCGGTTACCAGTGGAGGACAAAGTACTCAACTCCATTCAGTGAAAGTACAGATACCGCTGGTCAAATATTACTCCATTACAAGTAAAAGTTGTAAAGACAGATTTTTACTCAAGTAAAAGTACAGAAGTACTTGCTTTTAAAAGTACTTAAGTACCAAAAGTAAATTTCCTTTCTTATGTCAATGCAATGTTTTATTGTTGTAAGTAGTACTTGCAATACTTCTGAAGCAACTTAGAATACATTACCCCTACAAGAGTGATTACTGATAAACTGTCTGAAAAAAAGAAAGTCACGTTTTAGAGAAGAAAAAAATCACCTACTGACTTTCAAAGCTGCTACATAGTAACGACTTCCTACTTCGAGGACCTTGATAGAAATGTAGAGGAGTGAAAAGTACAATATTTGTCTTTCAAATGTAGTGAAGATAAAGTTCCCAGAAAAAATAATACTCAAGTAAATGTACTTAGTTACTGTCCGCCTCTGGCGGTTACTAATGTGTTCCGTAATATGCTCTTAGAAACACCCTAGTAAACTGCCATAACACCCAAAAACTACTTAAAAATGCTGTAGCAACGACCCAGAAGACCTTAGCAACCACTTAGAAATTCATTAGAAACCATCCAGAAATGCCCTAACAACCACACACTTTAGCAACTATTTATAAACCCCCTTGTAGCGACTTAAAAACATTCTAATAAACTACCAGAACACTCCAGCAACTGCTTAGGAACACCTTAGCAACCACTTAAAATTGCCCTAGCAACCTGCCAGAACACTCTAGCAATGACGCTGTGCTAAAGCCCCCTCAGAAGTCCTCAGTGACGGAATAGCAAAAGCTTTACTGTGAGTTTCACACAAGCATGCACCACTCTTTATACAATATAAAAATCTAGTGGCCTAAATTGTTCAGATTGAAATCTGCCGGTACATTTACTTCAGAGATTAAATGAAATATCACTCAGATCTGCTCTAACATCCTTTTTTACATGCCCTAAAGCCTTTGACATTATGCCTGAGAGCGATGGGTTCCCCTTGAAGTCTGCTGGACAGCACATGCCTGTGTACATACTGTATGTGACTGTTCGCACCCTGCAAGCCCTACCGGTAGATCAAGTATGTTGATGTTTATATGTAAGGTCGCGTGTTGATATCTGCCACCCTTTACAGTAGGTGTCACTATTCAGGCTGTCAATGCCACAGGAAGAGAGACAGTTAGAAAGTGTAGATAAGCATCTGTGTCTCACTGCTTTGCTCTCTCTTTTGTCAGCCACACAAAGAGAACAACAACATTGTACTTCAGGGTTACAGTCTATAAAACTCACAGCTGCTGCGTAATTTAGTAGTATGAAGCATAATCTCACAATTAAAGGTGTGTTTTTCTGAGTTGGACGTTGAATTGAGTCTTTGACAGCATCAGCAAGAATCATTGTGGTCTGTGACGGCAGTGACACGAACAGGAAGCTGGCCATGACTGCAGAGAAGTAGCGATGAGTTCTTAGAATGTCCAAACCCCTCCCAACCACTTCTCTCTCCCTTCCTCCTGCATCAGTGTCCAGTTCAGCACACTCGTTTTCAATTCTCTCTGCGCACAGACACACTGACGTTTACCTTCTCACCTCATTAAGCAAACCAAGTCTAACCACTAAGATCAGGACCCCACACCCCGGCCAAGAGCATAAACACTTCAGTTGAAGTTTGTAGACCAGGAAGACATTTTTACACGGCATTCCAATTTATACTTTCATAAAATACACCTCATATTTCCTTCTCTTCTGTTCATTCTATTTCTGACAGGCTGAATATTAGACATGACTTCAATATGCAAATTCCCCATCGTATTTTCACCTCTCTCTCTCTCTCTCTCTCTCTCTCTCGCTTATTTGCATCAACCTGCTCTACAGCTGATGACAATACACAATACACACTCTGCAGCCCTCTCACGCCTGAGAAATGCACACATGCACATGGATACAGACTCACACATACAGTAAACAAATTAGGGAAAATGCACTAGGTTAATGTAAATGAATTTGTAAATAAGTCTATGCAAATTTATATGCAGCGTAGAATCAGCTAGGTGATTTCGATATTTGGGTCACGATACAATAATGATAATATAAAGATATTGAGATTCTGTATGCTTATTGTAGAACGCTGAAAAGTGAAGTCAAAAAACTAAACTTGTTTCTCTGACCTGTTTTAAAAATGTGATTTTCTTTTTCTTAATTTGAATTTGTGGTTTATATTTCACAGTTGTGACTTTATGTCTTATATTTTGACTTGAATATAGGATACGATTGGCTGGAATACAAGATTTTTGCCCATATTTTTGCCCTGGATATACATTATGGACAAGTCGATGATAGTTGCAGAAAAACAGAGCTAGACTGCAGATTTGAGTTGACAGCTTTCATAGAAAATCTCGTAGTGTATGATGGGCACAGACTCTGAATTTTTAGCTTCAGACTATGATTCCATGCGGTCGGAGGATATTAAACATGTTTGATATATTTCAAGCCTATTTTAGAAAACATGTTTTCATTTGTCACGTCTCTCCTAGCAACAAGGCACGTGTTTCTGTGTGAGTGTACCATTTAAGTGTATGATGTAGTTTTTCCTTTGTAACTATTTACAGTCAACAAGTGTGTGATGCCTAATATTTTTAAAGGGGTCATATGATGCGATTTAAATTTTTCCTTTCTCTTTGGAGTGTTACAAGCTCTTGGTGCATAAAGAAGATCTGTAAAGTTGCAAAGACTAAAGTCTCAAATCCAAAGAGATATTCTTTATAAAAGTTAAGAGTCAGCCACGCCTACCTAAAACAACTCGTTCTAACACGCCCCCACATATCTACGTCACTATGTGGGAAGATTTGCATAACGCCGCCCAAATGTTCACGCAAAGAAAGAAGGCGTAACTTTTATTCTCGCTGTAGTATTGTTGTTGCCGCCGCCATGTCGTGAAGGCGCTGTGTGCTTCGTTGTGAAAGCGAAACTACTTTGTTTGGCCTTCCAATGCCTGGAGCTGATCCGTGCTGGTCGCTGAGAAAATACAACTTGACGCTGTGGATCGCCTTTCACCGTGGACGAAGCGGAGTCCAGCCCGGGGTCGACACATGTGGTTGCCGCAAGCCC